CCAGCGTTCATAAGGTCGCAATTCAGTTCATGTTGAAACGCTGGGGTTGATGGGACAGGCACGAGCATGCATGCAGTTTGCGACACTTACAAAGATGGAAGGATTGCAGATCCGGGAGTATGTTCAATGGGCATAGACTGGGAAGCATGGCGTGAGGGTGTATGAAGGGCAGGCATAGTAGGAAGGGTCGATTCCACAAAACTTGAAACCAATTTTCATGGAGGATTGTGATGGAGTTGTTGAAACGCAGGGGTTGATGGGACAAACACGAGCGTGCATGCAGTTTGCGACACTTGCAAAGATGGAAGGACTGTAGATCCATGAGTATGTTCAATGAGCACAGACTGGGAAGCATGACATGAGGGTGTATGGAGGGACGACGTAACAGGAGCGGTCGATTCCACAGAATCTAGCAATTGGCGTTACCTTGCCTCATTGGTACAGGCAACACGTTTTCTTTCGTGATAACTTTTGTTCGCCATCTTCCTTCGCTCCCTCTGCTCATCATTAGCAACGGAGGGGGTTGACAAGTGATGGTGTAACGCTTGTAGGTAGCATCGGGTTGTCGTGAATGGTTTCTGACGTAAATGGGCCTGTTGCGCAGATTGTGGTATTGTCAAGGTGGATAGGCACAGTCGTGGTATGAAAAGTAAGTGCATCTCGTACCAACTGCTGCCTTGTTTCATGTGTACATGCAGCAGGGGCGGTCAATTCCACAAAATTTGAAACCGATTATCGTAGAGGATTCTGGAGTTGTTGAAACGCTGGGGTTGATGGGACAGGCACGGGTGCGTATGCAATTTGCAACACTTGCAAAGATGAAAGGACTGTTGATGCATGAGTATGTTCAATAAGCACAGGTTGGGAAGCATGGCATGAGGGAAGATGAAAGGACTGTTGATGCATGAGTATGTTCAATAAGCACAGGCTGGGAAGCATGGCATGAGGGGGTATGAAGGACAGACGTAACAGGAGGGGTCGATTCCACAAAGTCTAGAAGACTGGAACCGATTCTTATGGAGGATTGTGGAGGCGAGAATTGTGTATCTAGCAACTGGTGTTGTCTTGCCTCATCGGCACGAGCGACACGTTTTCTTTCGTAATAATGTTTGTTACTCATCCTTCTTCGCTCCCTCTACTCATTATTAGCAACGGAGGGAGTCAGAGAAATGTTGGCAACTTGGCAAGTGACAGTGTAACAGTTGCAGCCTTGCAAGCAGAGTCCCCTTGGCGTGAATGGTTTTTGACGTCAACGAGTCTATTGTGCAGATTGTGGCATTGTCAAGGTGGACAGGCGCAACCGTGGCATCAAAGGTACGTGCATGTCGTTGCAGCTGCTGCCTTCTTTCATACGCACATGCAACAATTTTTCTCATATAATGGCGTTTGTTTGCCATCTTCCTTCACTCTCTCTGCTCTTCATGCGGAGTGGAGGGAGTGGGCGAGATGATGGCACGTGACTGCAGATCGCTGCAAAATGTGGAGAGTTCAGAGTTGTTATCTAGTGTCCAAGGAATGACAGTCGGTACCTATATTCACGTTCGACTGTATGAGCAGGAAGGTTGAAGCTTACCTTGTTTCTGGCCGAACGTCAACGTTGTTGGATCATGCAGTTTCGCAGTACTACAATCAATTCTTTGACGTGGAAGGGGAAAAAGATGAGAGGATGGGTGGACATTCTTGAGCTTCTAGTGGAGGCAGTGTGATAGTGACAGTAGCAAGGACGCATTGGTTTGTCGTGTCGAGGTGACCTGTGACACAATCAAGTGCATCGGATTGATTGATGACCTGTGTAGCATCAACCAAAACATGTTCCACGTAGTGTCAGGTTGGCGATGTCGCTTCCATCGTTTTGCATTGTTGTCACTACGTTCATTTTCTGTTAGTTCTAAGCTCTTTCGCAGCGGGGTAACAGGGAGTGGTCGCAACCTGGGCAAAAACGAAGATAATAGAAAAGGTTCCGCATCGAGTTTCTGGAGCATGAGGGCTTCTCTGTACGGCTGTGCACGGTTCTTAGCAGGGTTCTGTGAGGGAAGAAAAGTTGCTTCTCTGCTTTTTGTGGTTGTTTCCAAGGCAGAGTCGATATTGCAGACACCTCCTTCGCCATATGCAGTGAACAACGTCGGGCAACCTGGAGGGCGCAAAATAACCCACATGTGCAAACTGTGAACAACGAGTAATTGAAAACAACGATAGAAATCCCATCCACGTATCCAAACCCCAATGCACATTTCATCCAAACAATGACATAATTTATACAGGTCCATAAAAAATAAAAAAAAAGAAGCAACTCGATCGAAACCTATCAAAAGGCAAAAATTCAAAGCATGGGGAGAAACGGAAAAGGAGAAACATAATATTTTGTGACAAAAAAAGCAAACGAACCACAATAAATGGTTCCTCTCTCTCTCTCTCTCTCTCTCCAAAAAACCGTCTTTGCCCGGTTTGCTGCGCACTGTCCGAGATATTGCACTGTTAAAAAAAAGAGAAAAGAAAAAGGGTGGGCGACGAGATGAACAGCGGAATGGTGGATGTGCGGGCAGAGGAACGGATGTGCGGGTAGTAAAGAAAGCGGAGACAGCGGGAGGAAATGGCGGGGGGAGACGAAGGCGGAGGTGACTGGAGGCGAGCGAAGCTGCACGGAGGTGTGAGCGGAGGTGGGCGGAGGCAGGCGGAGGTGAGCGGAGGCAGGCGGAGGTGAGCGGAGGAGGACGGAGGTGGGCGCCGAGCGGAGGTGGGCGGAGGTGGGCGGATGCCCGAAGGGCAATCGGAGATGGGCGGAGGAGGTGAGCAGAGGCGGGCGGGAAAGAAAGCGGAGACGGCGGGAGGAGACGGTGGGCAGGGGTGGGCAGAGGTGGGAGGTGGTGGGCGGAGGCCAAGCGGAGGTAGGCAGAGGGTGAGCGGAGGTGGGCGAAGGTGGGCAGATGCCGCGGAGGTGGGAGCCTCCTTTCCTCCCCGTACATAATTAATCCGGCTTCTTCTACCATAAGCCAGCTAGCAGTACCCAATAAAAACACAGCTGGTCCTCCTCCCTACGCCTACTCCCGGCCATCACCCTCACCGCCCATACCCATCCTCATCTCAATGCACCCCCAACCCTCTGTCTTCCCAAAATGCTGCTTAGGCCGCCCCTACTCCTCTGGCGATTGGGCCACGTGATGTAGAAGTCCGCCCATTCCTGGAGTTCCCCCTCACCTCATTCCCTCTGATGAGCCGTTTGGCGCAAACGGCGAAAAGCGCTTCAGGGATGCGCCACACTCCTTCCTCGGCTAGGAAATTGGTCCTACCCAAGAAGGTTCTCTCTTTGTTTCCTTCCCTCTGCCCTAACGTCCCACCTCCTCTCCCCCTCCCCAAAAGGTCTCCTCTTACCTCCCCTTCCCCTCATATGTACATTTGAATCGTAGTGTGAATTTGTGAATGATGTGAATATAGAAGCAAGCATGCAATGGCATCAGGTGTCTGAAGGAGACCCATGCGACTTTTTGGATGGATGCTATGCTAGTATGTAATTGAGTGATAGCATTCTGTGCTGTTCCTGGCTGGGCCAGGTTGTTCAATTGCTATGCAATTTCGTTTACAAAACACATACATACATTCACACACAACCACATGTTCACAAACGCACACACATTCACACAGACACACATACACACATTCACACACAGACCCACACACAGATACACACATTCACACACACATACACACACATACACACACACACACACACACACACACACACACACACACACACAC